GGCTGCTCAGCTCGGGCTGGACTCGAACTGCTGTTGCTCAGAGCTCAAACTCTTGAGCGAGCTCTTAACCAACTGAGCCACTCGGCCGGCCCCTACGTGTTACTTTTTAAAAAAGACTTGAATTGGGGCTGGCCGAGTGGCTCAGTTGGTTAAGAGCTCACTCAAGAGTGCGAGCTCTGAGCAACAGCGGTTCAATGCCCGGCCCGAGCTGCTGCTGACCTGCCAACAGTTGGCAGGATGGCTCAGCTAAAAAAAAAAAAAAAAATTTAAAAAGACTTGAATCATCATGAAAAAATATTAACAGTTGTCATTTCTGAGTTGTAAGTTCACTGATATTTGTTCTTTGACTCCTTTCAAAGAAAAAAATTCCTTGAAAATAAAAGGATGTCTAGAGGTGAGTCTTTTCAGTGGAATGATGTCTCATTTTTGCTGGCCCAAGGAGCTCTGAGTGCTTTTGAAACTTGATTTTGAAAGACTATATCTCATTTCCAGGTGTGCTTACTGATTCATTTTCCAGTGTAACATGTTTTCCTCAGCAACTGATTCTGGATATTGAGTGGTAGATATTACTTCCTTGTCATCTTTGCTTTGATTTGATTTCACATACTTTCTACCTTAACCCCAGTAAATGTCATGCAACTTTTGCTTATGCAATAATACCTTTTTTATTTGGCCTTAGAATGGTTGCAGGTATACTGGGTGGATCATAAAATGCAAAAATCAAGCACACATTGTACAAATACAAAGACAGCTTTTACAAGGTATTCCCGTTTTTGAGGCATTGCCAATACATACTTTCCTTTATTTCTCCTTTTATAGGTGACATGATGACGTTGCTAATGAAGAAAGATACCTTGACAGAAGAGGAAACACAGTTCTACATTTCAGAGACTGTTCTGGCAATAGATGCAATCCACCAGTTGGGTTTCATCCATAGAGATATTAAACCAGACAACCTTTTATTGGATGCCAAGGCATGTGAATTATTAGGTTGCTAATTGTCTTTTGGAGTAATAGAGCTGTATTTGTTATTGGATAACTACAATGTACAAGTGTATTATTGCTAAACTACATTATTTCATAGAATGATGCAATAGGAGAGGACTCGAGTGTAGTGACATCAAGGAAATATGGCTGTCTTTCAATTTTCTACTTTTTAAATTGTCAAATATTTATAATTGTACATTTCACTTGCATGATTTCTAAGCTAAGAATATTTATAATAATTGCATTTAAAAGAAGAGCTTATAATAAAGATTTTGTTTCAGAGTTAGTATAAACTATTGATTTTACTATTTTTAAAAAAAATTCAGGGTCATGTGAAATTATCTGATTTTGGTTTATGCACGGGATTAAAGAAAGCTCACAGGACTGAATTCTACAGAAACCTTACACACAATCCACCAAGTGACTTCTGTAAGTTTGATTTTTTAAAGGTTTTTATTGGGGAATTGGGGGGATGGGAACAGTGCTGGGGAATTGGGGTAAGGGGAACAGACAAGTTGCTGTCGTTTTGTTCTTCGGTCTAGTTGTGGAGGATGTTGTTTCACTGGCCCAAGTTGGCACCATCATTGCGCTCTTCCCGGGCGAGGCAGATTAGTCACCGGCTTCTGGACGGCCGCTCACTGCGGCTGCTGGCTGCTCACTGCGGCTGCTGGCCGCTCACGCTGGCTGCTGGCTACATACGGTATAGCCCATGGCAACCCACTGCCACAGGGGCTGCAGCCTACGCCATTGCCGGCGACTCATGGCAGCCCAGCTCCAGGTTGAGCTGTTGTTCAGCATCTTAGCTGTGGAGGGCAGTGTCACTGGCCCTCATATGTGGGATCCGAACCGGGGCCCTCTGGCGTCCCAAGCCAGTTCTTAACCATCGCGCCACTCGGCCGGCCCGTAAGTTTGATTTTTTTTTTTTTCAGGTGAAAGTAGTATAGTGGATTAATTCAGTACTGTTGAGAACTGAAGGTTCTCTCGTCACTCAAACCAGTGTATTTTTTTTTTTTTTGTAAGCTGAGCCATCCTGCCACCTGTTGGCAGCTCAGCGGCAACTCAGCTTGGGCCAGATTCGAACCACTGTTGCTCAGAGCTCAAACCCTTGAGCGAGCTCTTAGCCAGCTGAGCCACTTGGCCGGCCCCACAAACCAGTGTATTTTAAATATATGTGTGTGTAGGGCCAGCTGAGTGGCTCAGTTCGTTAAGAGCTCACTCAAGAGTGCGAGCTCTGAGCAACAGGGTCGCCGGTTCGATTCCCACATGGGCCCGAGCTGAGCTGCCGCTGAGCTGCCAACAGGTGGCAGGATGGCTCAGCTAATATATATATTAAATATATGTGTGTGAATTTGTTTTGGGGGTGAGAGTTTTTCCCTCATGATTACATTTCTGTCTTGTTGAAATTAGCGTTTCAGAACATGAACTCAAAGAGGAAAGCAGAAACATGGAAGAAGAACAGGAGACAACTAGTGAGTCCGCCATGTTTTTAAGGAAGAATTTTGTGCCCTGGTCCTAAAATCCCTTTGTTTTTTGCTTTATTATTTTCTGTCTTTCGCAATAATCAGTACTTTGTAGCAATGATAGAGTTTGTTCTGGGATCATAAGTTTTCTTAGTTTCTCTGTAATGTTTCCTTGCCTATAAAGTAAAATGCTGATTTTTACTTTATAATTTAACTTTAGAGTGTTTTGTCTAGTGTATCTATAATTAAGCGATCTGTCTGTTTACTAGTAATTAGCACTTTGTATAAAACTCACTGAGATAAGTGTGAATGTAGTGAATGCCTTGTGATTTCCATTTTCTATACCTGTTTTGATAAAGCAAGTATCAATCAGCACATCTAAGGTGGTTGTCTGTTTCTAAGAGCTTCTTTACAGGCAAAGTAATCAGGAAGGCTGGTGTGTTGTAACATTCTTACAATAAATAGATAAAACTAGAAAGCTGACTTTACCACAGATAAACTTAAATTACTCCTTTGATGTAGAATAACACTATTTTTAACCTCACTATTTCTCCTCTATTCCTTAACAAATATAAGAATTGCTTGCCCCTTTCCCCTGTTTCCTTTATCCCGTTAACTAGGCCTTTGAACACTCCCGAGGTTAGGAATGTGCCATTTGACTTGTTTTCCCAATTTCTTGTACAATGCTTGGCACATACAGACACTTTATATTTGTTAAATTCAACCAAGTGATATAAATGAAATTAATTCAGTATTCCCTCAGGAAGGGAAATAGGCTGCAAATTTTCTGAGATCTTCTCAAACCAAATAAAATGTCCTTTGCATTATTGAGCTCATCGTCTCATTAGCCCAAGTAATTGCAAGCTTCCTGTGCTTGTAAAACATTTCACTGTTTTTAAAAGTTTGAAAAATTTTTTAAAAATGTATTGAGCTATGCATTAACAACAAAAACTTCCTTCTACTTCTAAATGTGTCACTTCTAGATCAGATTTTACAATGGAGAAATGAATTGCAGTGTTTCCTTCTTTTAAAGGGAAAAGTGAATACTGCTTAAATATGGTGGGAATTGTGTGTGTGCCCCCGCCATTACAGGATATTTACAGATGATTTCTCATGTACATGTTTTACTATTCTCATGGCCATCATCATGACTTATATAGTCTTTCCTAAGGGAGACGTAGAGGGAACTGTTGGTATACTGGGCAGGAAATTCCTTTAGAACCTGTATCCCCTGCCCACTAAATGCCAATCATGTCCTTCCCCAGGTCATTAAAACAACAAAATCTGCTGTCAGACATTTTCAAATGGTCCTTAGAATACTACCTTTAGTTGAAAACTATTTCCTTAAAGAACTAGTATTTATAAGATTTTATATGAATTAAGAATGAAAAACTGTATTGCTTCCTAATGGATGAGTGGCCTCGAATTAGGTTCATAATGAAAATACCTGATGTTTATATCGTAGATTGTAGTAGTTTCAAAGCACATTCCTTTTCTTGTTTTATCCTCATGTCAACTGTTCAGGCAGGTATTGTTACTCCAATTTTATGTTCGCAGAAGCTGCGTCTCAGAGAGGTTGAGTAACCTGCCTCAGAACGCCTTGGTAGTGAGTGCAGAAGCCAGGCCTACTGGACTCAACCTTTTCATTCTTTTGAAATGAATTTAGAGCTAAATATATAAAATAACTTAGCTGAACTTCTTGGAGAGATCAGAAATCATGTCTTCAAAATGTATTATCTGACTCAGTACCTATCAGTTGAGCCTTATACATGATAAACATGCAAAATAAGTATTAAATGAAAAATTAACTTCTGTATATATTGCTTTTTACAGTAGTGAGCCATACTCAGATCTTTCAAAAAAATACATTAATGCCAGTTTGACAAACTGTTCCTTTGCAGGCGTATTCCACAGTTGGAACGCCAGATTACATTGCACCGGAAGTATTCATGCAGACTGGATACAACAAACTGTGTGACTGGTGGTCTTTGGGAGTGATTATGTATGAAATGCTAATAGGTATGTTTTATCACCCATTTATGTACACATTATGTGAATTTTCTTGAGTGTCACTGATTGAACATATTGTAGAGATCATGGCCTAAGATATCAGAACTCTTTTAAAGCTCATTTCTGACGTCCCAGCATGTTAAATGCACCATGATACCAATGAGCTCCCTGGGAATCCTGTTTCAGGAAGTGGGTATTAAACCAGAACTCCCATATGTCAAAATGGTATTTGCATGGCCTTTCAGGTAAAAGGGGGGCATTGCTTTAAATCCTTTATTTGTTTGATTTCATTAACAATTTTATTATAAATTGATTACTGGTGGCATTTTTTTATTGTGAAATAGAGCACTCTGGGCTACTTTGTTTCTTTTGACACAGATGTAGTAGGTATGGCATATTTGATCATTAAACCTGATAAAACTTTTGTTTTCTCTGATGCGTAGGCTATCCACCTTTCTGCTCTGAAACACCTCAAGAGACATATAGAAAAGTGATGAACTGGAAAGAAACTCTGGTATTTCCTCCAGAGGTGCCTATATCTGAGAAAGCCAAGGATTTAATTCTTAGGTTAGTGGTTAAACCCCTAGAGGAGTTTGTGGTATCTTAAACTTCACAGGTGCCTAAAAGACTAAATGGCTCATTTCACTTTGGTGCGAGAAAAGGGACTACCACTGATATATACAATCAGAGAGGTCAATAAAGAGAAGGTGTTTTTAAAAATGCAAACTCTTAAAAGGAAGTATGCAGAAAATAACTAAAGAGTTAAGAAGAGGGAAGAGATCTTGTATTATTTCAGAGGTGACTCCTGTTAGAATGCATGACCCTATTCCATCAAAGAGAAAAGAGAATAAGTTGTTCGTAGCAGTTCACATCACAAAAATCTTTATATGAAACCTTATCTAAGCAAAAGATTCTAGTCTGTTTCTCAGTTAAGATGAAGTGTTTTGGTATCATTGTGAATGGCTGGAAGGAATATAAATTGGGACAACCTATGGGAAGAGCCCTTGACAGCATATTATCAATAATCCTTAAGCTGTACATATCCTTTGACCCAGCAAATTTACTTCTAGGAATTTTGCTTATGCAGATAATCAGATGTGTGTCAAGATTTAGGTACAATATGTTTATCGTGATACTGTTTTTAGTAATGAAAAATTGAACACCATCTAAATGTTCAACAGTAGTGGACTGGCTAAATAAATTGTAATATTCCCATATGCAAATTTTAGAAAATGAAGTTAGAAAAACTTTTAATGACTTTGGGAAATTATCTCAATGTATTCAGTAAATTAAAAAGTCCTAAAATAGTAACTACTGTATCAACACAATATTTTTAAAATTATAATAAAAGACTGGAAGGAAATGATTTCAAACTGTTTATAGTAGTTACCTCTGAATAGAACGATTACAGATGATTTCTATTTTCTCCCACATTTTCCACAATAAACAGATAATTCAGTAAACAAACAAAAAAATAAATGTTTGAAATAATGCAAATAGAGTACTTTAAGTGTGATTTGCATATGATAATTTCTGTGTCCATTTTCTAGATTTTGTATTGATTCTGAAAATAGAATTGGCAATAGTGGAGTAGAAGAAATAAAAGGTCATCCCTTTTTTGAAGGAGTAGACTGGGGGCACATCAGGTATGTTGATGGGCTTTGAATGGGACAGGTCTGAGTAAAAAAAGAAATTTTAAACTAGATTTAACAATGAATTTGTCTCTGATTCTGCTAGATTAAATGCAAGAAGTAGCATTGTTACAATGCTATTAAATCAGTGTTTTCTGGGTTACACAAGTGAATGAGACTCCAGTGGGTATAGCTAAATGACTAGTTTTAGCTAATGTTCACTTCAAGGGAAAAGTCACACATTGTGTACCTGTTTAGCTTTTCATATACAGAATTACATGATGAAGGTTGTTAGCACAACCAAGATGTATTTACATTTCACATTATAACCTTTCATTTTTGTCCTCTTTTTAATATACCATATTGTGTCTTCTTTATTAGTTTATAAGAAGATACAGTCCCTTTTTTAAACATTGTGGGAATAAATAATGCAAGTAACTTATAAGAATTTGCTTACAGTTGTTAATTGTGAGCCTATGCCTTTATTCAGTTTATGGCCAAACTACCTTTAATAGTTCTGGCCTGTTCTCCACATAGCAACAGCTCAGAAACAGATCTGGTCATGCCATTTTTCTCCTTCCCTTTGCACTTCAAATAAACTTAAGGGTCCTTAACTGCGTTTCAGGACTGTGGGATATGGCTCTTACCTCCCAGCACCAGTTGCTGCTTGTCTGATCTTTCCCCACTCTTCCCACCTCGCAGCTTTGTCATTTGCTCTTCATTCAGACTGGAATGCTCTCCTCCCTGCCCCCTCCCGGCCCAATCCCTGCCCTGCCAAGCCAGCTCCTGTTCATCTCAGGCAGCTCACATGTCACTTCCTCCATGTAGATCCTCACTGGAGCTTCTACTAAGGGTTAGGCATTCTCCCTGTTTCATTTTAATAATAGCTAATTTTTTGATGATTTATTGTATGTCCAGCACTGTTCTAAGTACTTTATGTAAATTTCTTATCCTCATACTGAACCTTATAAAATAGGTACTATTATTTTCCCTATTTTGCAAATGAGGAGACTAAAGCATAGAAAAGTGATTTGCTTACAGTGCCACAGCTAGTAAATGATCTAGCTGGAATTGCTAACTGGAATTGGACGCAGGCAGTTTGATTCTGGAGTTCTGATCTTAACTGCTATGTTGTTTTATACTATATGTACATCATCTGATTGAGCAGAACTATGATTTCCACCCTTTTTACAGTTATAAGGATGCTTAGAGACTACCAGTCCAATCTCTTAGTTTTATAATGAGGAAATAGTCACAGAGCTGAAACTTGCCTGCCTAAGGTCAACTGCTAGTTAATGAAGAAATTAGATCTGAGGGCACCAGGGCCTATGGTTCTTTTCACTAAACTAATGTAAATTTAATAAGTATAAATAAGTTGGAATAATTGTGGGAAAAATATATACATGCTTTTATATACTTCTGTAAACTTATCACCTAATAGATCCAATAAATACTTGTTGAAAATATAGAAGCAATAAAAATTGATAGCTTCTTTTAACTATTTCTGTACATAAACATTTTTAGCTTGATAAGCAGGCATTTTCATGACTGATGTTTTTAACAAATGTCCCTGATTCCCTTAAAATTTATATGACTGCAGTTTTTAGATTCAGATTTCATCACAAATGTGTAGTCTCTTCACCCTTTGAGCCCTTTATTTTCTTAAATGACTTTTGACTTATGGATTCTCTCCTAAATTAATTAGGTAGGATCCAGACCCCACAATATTGAGCATATTTTATGTAATTATAAAATCTTTTAAATAAAATCTCTTATTCTACTTTCCGTTTCATTAGCTCTAGTTTTTCCATTGAAAAAAACAGCATGAGAAAATCTTGGTCTAAAGAAATAAAAATTCTAAACATAATAAATGATAATGTTTTAATAAAAAAATTATACTCAACTATGAAGTCCACAATAACTTTCCTTGGCTCTTCTAATATCTATAGAACAGCGTGAAGAATTTTCAAGTAGAATTGTTTTTTGGAAAATTAAGAGTTGAAGCAAATTTACCTTGGTTACTCAATACCTTTTCATAGGGAAAGGCCAGCAGCAATCCCTATAGAAATCAAGAGCATTGATGATACTTCAAATTTTGATGACTTTCCTGAATCTGATATTTTACAACCAGGTAAGACAATTTACAACGCAATACCATTAAAAGCCTATGAAGATGATGACGTTTTTCACTAATGAAATTCCTTTGCTCTTGCTTAATTTTTCTGTTTTTCTAGTGCCAAACACTACAGAACCGGACTATAAATCCAAAGACTGGGTTTTTCTCAATTATACCTATAAAAGGTTTGAAGGGTTGACTCAGCGTGGCTCTATCCCCACATACATGAAAGCTGGGAAATTATGAATGAAGACCACATTCGCCCACAACCAAGAGAACTCAGGTAGCTGCATCACCAGGCTTGCTTGGCGTAGGTAATAATACACTGAAATACTCCCGAAGACGGTGGTGCTTATGACTACAAGAGGAAATTCTACAGGACTAGGATTTCTAAGACTACTATAGGAATTGGTTGGCAGTGCCAGCTGGCTTTTTTTTTTTAATGTTTTATTATTTTTGTTAACTTTATTATATGAAGGTACTGGAATAAAAGAAACGTACATCCCTTTCTAACTGCACTGCCTACATGCGTATTAAGGTCCATTCTGCCTGTGTGTGCTGTGGCTTTGTACTGTAACACCTCTAATCAATTCAGGAGAAACACATATCATTTAAAGCAACATAGGCTAACCTGTAGGTAATACTGCAGTATTGCTGATTTACTGCAAATCTTATGGGTCTAGATAATCAATAAAAGCCATCTTCCATAGTTGGTGTTAAGAACACTTACCCTATTGGTTTGGACATCTATAAAAAATATATGAAGACAATTTCTATAATGGTTTTAAGAAATTTAAAAAGAAATACACTGGTTATTTAAAAAATAGAATTGATCATCATGTTATAACATTAACTCCACAGTAGGGAGTGACACGTTTATAATAAGGAGGAAGTTTAACGCCTTCACTCAAGCACTCCACTAATATATTTACTTTGCATTCAGAAATACTGGTGACCTTTATATGCGTAGTCTGTATACTCATAGGGGAGATGTACTGTATTATATAAAATGTAAAGTTGCTTTTCTTGTGACAACAGGACTTCTTTTTTAACAAGAGGACATGACATTATTTTAATTTGATTATGGTGAGTTGAATATAAGAAATGACCACGAAGGCTGCTTGTAGAACTAGTGTATTTTTATTAAACTATTTTTTTAAATGTCAGACTTCTGATCGTGTAAATGGACTTGTAGAGTACAAAGAGAGCTATTTACTTTGGTTTTCTAGAAAGTTGTTACATATCATGGCTGGTTAACTTTTATTTTATTTTTTATGAAAAATTTTCCTTTGATAGTACTTGTATTATTGTGCCATTACTTTCTTATACTCCAAATGTACCAAAGATCCTGAACAGAGTGGATGTTCACAAGTGAGTGGAATTTTCCTTTCCTGCGGGAATGCTGTCCTCAGACATGACAGATCTGTGCTAGAGGTCAGCTTATTGAAGGACAGCAGTGTTCATGTTTAGCTACATCACTGTGGTTACTGTAAATGGAATTAAGAAGGTAAATGCAGGCCAGAGGGGTTGTGATTAGAGGATGGGGGAGACGATGTCAGCATCAAATTTTTTGGGTATTTGCCTAAGAATTAAATAATCTTTTCTAGCTCAGCGTTTTAGTTCTAAAATGAATCTCTGCGTTGTTGGTTTCATAAGTACTAGTTGAGGAATAATATTTTATGAAAGAATGGCCTAATGTTTGTCTTAACTGTTAATGGAATTTTTTAAAGATACAACTATAACCATTACAAATGATATATGATGAAAATCTAAAATGATTTATTTCTAGAAATAGTCCTCTTAATGGGGAAGAATCGCATAGGATCATTATGCAAACCTACAAAAGATTTTATAAATGTTGCTGCCAGGTAGTTCCACAGTGTGTTTCAATAAGGCCGCCCTGGATTCTCCTCCCTGCTACCCCCTCCCCTATTACCCCCTCCCCTATTCTCTCGATCTCCTTCCTTCCTCCCTCCCTCCCTTTTTCTTACCTTTCATTCTTTTTTTCCTAGTATTTGTTTGGTGTTCATTCAGTAGCTATCCCCATTTTTTTGTGTTTGGATCATGTGGCAGAGTATCTAGGAGAGAGAACTATTAAAATTCTGGGGTTATCTCAATTTTACTAACTCTGGATTTCCCAATTATAGCTGCCTCTAATTTTAAAAAATCTTTAACTTCTGCTCAGTTTTGTAAGATTTTTCTCACCCCAGCTTATCACCTCCCCTTTCCTTAAAGGACTGTGTTGCTAGTGTGGTAGTGAATGGAAAAGATGTGAGGAAATTGCAACATTCTTTAGTTCTAACATGGTAACTATTGCAGTACAGAAAAATATCATTAATTTGACAGAGAGAGAGAGATAGAGATAGATAAATGAACTGAATTATCTAAGTTGACTTTTTAATTGAATAAGAATAGAGCATTTTACTTTCCTTCACCCTCATTCTTGTTAACAGGAAGGACTTGGAAATAGTTCTGATTTCTCGGCAGTGAAAAGGCAATTCTAAAAGTTTACTGTGTTCAGAGTCTCATTTTTCCCTGGAGTTAAAAGAGTGATTCACAATCTTAGGGGTTTCCTCCTCATCAAAAGCATTTCTTAAGTGCCTATCTAAAAGCAATTAAAGACTGTGTCTGCCCTTTGGAAGCTAAGAATTTGATTCCTGATGCAAGTTAGCTAGATAATTTGCGAAGTACCTTTGAGATCGAACTTTCTCTATTGTACATTTCCCATAAATCAGGTGAACCTGAAATTTAATTTAAATGAAAAAACCTTATCTAATCAACTGGGCATAATGACATTTTCTTTAAATTAGGCTCTATTTTGAATTAAAGAGTTTTATTATAAAGTGTGTGTTTTTGGTTTTTCTAAGTATATAGAAACCTTGTATAATTCAGATTTATTGATTTCCTGATTTAATGTAGACTTTGACTTTTTTATTAAAAAAACCTTTGTATTAAAGCAAGTTACGTTATTTTTCTTTTATGCTTTTCTTATTAACATAGCTTTAAATCTTTAAATTTATTGAAGCGCAGTGCTATCTGAATATAAGAAATTTGTTATAAATCACCATTTTCTGAATGGAATCTGTAGCTGATTTAATAAGCTGCTAGTTGAATGGGAAATATTCAAATGTGGTCTATTCAGAACTTTGGTAGTTGAGGCTGAAGATAGGGTTTCATTTATTTCTATAAACATACTTTTTCTGTTTTTTAAACACCTGTATATCTGTGTAAATCTGTAAAATTTAAAATATTTTTAAAGTACATTTATTTTTGGTGTTTTATTGTAGAAAACCTTTAGACAATCAAGCAATCAGTATCTACTGGTGGGAGAAACAGCTGTCCATCTTTTGATGATCTACAAATGAATGAATTGAAATTAATCAATAGAGAGGCCCCTGGCTACTAAACACATTCTCTCTTTGACTTGCTAAGATTCAGAACATTCAAAATAACTGTTTTGCTACAACCATGATTATTTCCTCTTGTCTTTAAATTTTATTTTCTCTTTAGAAGTGCACTTATTTCTGAAAAATTTTAATGAAATAAACACTTAGAACAAATGTAAATATAACACACTTGGGACTATTAGAGATATTTTAGATTTTTATGAAAAAATGTGAGGGGATCTTGCTACTTTAAGGAATGAAGTAAAATAATAGTTATTTTTTAAAAAACAATATAAATTATTCAGCAGTTGTCTAGAAAAATAATCATCAGGCTCTTGAGTTCTGTGTTCAGTTACTGAGTTTCAAAAAAAATGTTTTGGTGGCTTGAGGCCTTTTTCATTGAAGGTAAGAAAAAAATAAAAACTATGTTTATAATAATTCTGTTGGTGAGGTTTTTTGGTTTCATTTTCAAGTTTTGAGATAGGTGTTACATAAAACTCAACAAAGTTTTTTTTTAATGTATTCAACTTCTGCATTTAATGATCACATCAAGAACAAAGTCAATATTTGAAGTTTCAATTGTGTTACATTTAAACAATCAAGATAGTTGTACAGGTTTATATACAACTACCACTTGGCCAAAAGCAATTAGCAAGCAGAATTGAAATTGAAAATGCCTCAACATTAAATTGAAAAGGGCTCAAAATAGCATGGAAACCCATAGACCCAGGTACACATGTACCAGTACGTCCTGTCCTGTGAAAGACACCATCATCATTTATGAAGCTCTTTCTGCCGAGTTCAGAAGGAACCAATCAGAATCCTGCCCATCCTACCTGTGCTCCCAGCTGTTCCCTGACTTACATCATTTCAGTAATGCCATAGCGAAGACAAAACAGTGAAAACACTGCATGTCAAAATTTGGACATTGGAGCAAACTTGGAGACTCTAAATTCATCTTCTTTTGAAAGCATCTTGTGATAAAAAAGAGCTTATGTTTGTATACAAAATCCTTCGCTTACATTATTCATTTTGGTTTTTACTACTACACTGTGATATAAATGTAATTATCATCATTTTACAGATGGTGAACATGAGGCTAAGCATGACTTACCCAAACCCAGGTAATAAATGGTTCCCAAACCCAAATCCAGTGCTCCTTCCATTCCCCCAAATCTTAGAGCATGCGTCATTGACATATTACCTCATATGCTTCTAAACCTCAGGAAAATACATGGGGAGCTAGTGACACTTTTCACTTTGGGTCCTTTTTGACTGCAAATGTCAGAAGACGCAAGTAAAAATAGCTTCAACAATAAGGAGAATTAATTTCTCCATGTAACACTAAGATGAGATAGGAAGCTTCCAGGGTAGTCAATTTAGCATCTCAAAACCCTCAAGGACACAGGTTCTTTCCATTTTCTACTTTGTTGTCCTCAGAGTTGGCTTTGTCCTAGGTCTTGTTTTCTCAGAGGCTAGATGGCTCCAGGGACTCGAAGCATCAGACCCGCACACAGCATTTAATTCCTAAAAAGAGAACTACCTGTGCTTCCTCTTTTTTTTTTTTAAGATTTTTTATTGGGGAATTGGGGGGATGGGAACAGTGCTGGGGAATTGAGGGAAGGGGAACAGACAAGTTGCTGTCCTTTTGTTCTTCAGTCTAGTTGTGGAGGACGTTGCTTCACTGGCCCAAGTTGGCACCATCATTGCGCTCTTCCCGGGTGAGGCAGATCAGTCGCCGGCTTCTGGACGGGCCGCTCACTGTGGCTGCTGGCCGCTCACACTGGCTGCTGGCTACACATAGTAGCCCATGGCAACCCACTGCAGCAGGGGCTGCAGCCTACGCCGTCACCGTGACTCACAGCAGCCCAGCTCCAAGCTGAGCTGTTGTTCAGCATCTTAGCTGTGGAGGGCAGCGTCACTGGCCTTCATATGTGGGGTCCGAACCGGGGCCCTCTGGCATCCCAAGCCAGCTCTTAACCATCGCGCCACTCAGCTGTCCCTGCTTCCTCCTTTTTTAACAGCAGGGAAAATCTTTTTCCAAAAGCATTACAAGCAAGGTAACCCCAAGATTTTATTTGCCATGATTCTGTCATCCATCCATCCCTACAACAGTACCTGGCCTGGAGATGGACCTAAAACTAATCAGGGTTCACATTGCTGGTACTTGGGTAAGGCTTGTACAAAGTACATGGCCACCTAATACCAGGATCAAATTGGAGTTCTTTTAACTAGCTCCAAGATAACCAAAAAGATGCTACACAGGTTTGTAGCAATGGTTCTTAACCGAAGCCACTGCATCAGGATTTTGTTGCTGGTCTGCCATTATCTATGTATTAACTGAAGGCTGGTCCACTAACGTCATTCCCGACCCCTCCAAGACGGGAGGACTGAGTGCCACTGCGCTAGGCCATGGCTCAGCTATGGGGTCCCGGGTTCCTTGTCTGTCCAGAACCAGGAGTAGGGGTGGGTCTCTGGACATCATACAAACAGATGGAAATATGGCCCAGTGACCAGGGCTTGGTCTTTTTAGTACTTTTGCCATCCCTCCCAGCTCCTATGCATTTCTTCATGGGTCCATCTCCCCCCAAGGCTGATAAACTGGTAATAGGGACCCTCATTGACTCCTTTCCTCCCCCAGGATTTAGACAGGGACAGGGTAGCCTAATTTGAGTCAACTGCTTTGTCTCACTGGAAAAGATGGGCTTTCCCTAACAGAACTCAAAACATTCTCAGGTGAGTTTGTGCTAATTACCACCAAGTTATCTCTGAATCCCTTTACTGTTCATATTAAAGCATTTTTTATCAAACCCTCAAACATAGGATGACTTTTAAGTCTTCCAAAGGGAGAAACCCACAGGAAAGAGAAACTGTCCTTTGCTTTCTTGTCCTTGTGGGTAAGATAATCAGGAGCCAAACCTGCAGAACCCTCTGTACAATTCTATACAATACTTAGGGGACTGAGGCGGACCTGGGCCACCATACTTGCTCAAAGAGCGTTCAAAACCTGCAAAAGTACAAATTGGTTCAGCTTTTGACACTTATATACACACACACACACACACACACACACACACCAACAATCTCTAAGGGGAAAATAAGCAATAACTCCATGTATAAAGAGATGTCTGCACAACTATTTCCTCATTCTTGTCCTAAGTTTTGTTCCTCCCTCTGTTATTTCTCAAAATTTTATTGCTACTTCTGTCCTCTGACTTGTAAAAATACTCAGGCACATACACAACTTACCCGCTACAACAACCTGGGCTTCAGAAAATTCATTTTGACACTTTGCAGCAATATTTCCTAAAGAACTCCGAGCAACTGTTTCAAAATCAACGAGGGAGCTTATTTGAAATAAAGATTTAGTGTGTCTCACCCCAGACCTACTAAATCAGAGAATCGTGGGGGTTCGGCTGAAAGTACACATTGTCATGCATAGGCAACTTTGGGAACTGCCGAGCTAAGGGAAAAGGAGAGAGGTTGGACTTTCCCAAAACGAAATAATCCTGCTTCAGTGATTGTCATGAAAAACATCTACATGAAGTAAGGGACGCACAGTAAGTGGAGTACAAAAATCAGTGCTTACAGGAAGCGCTGGCACATTGCAGGCGCTCTGGAAGTATTTGTGAACAAATGAATTAATATATTCTGTGGGTGGCCCTACTTTCCATTGAAGTCCAATCTAAAAATGTTTTCACTTTTAATTAAAAACATGAATCAGTTCTAAAAGCATTGAAAAGGAATGTAGCTTTTGCTAAAGTTTATTTTCCAGAAAAGTAATGTGAGTTTGCATTACACAATGAAACTCCCCAAATACCCTTTAAAGGTTTTTCTTAAATTTCCACTCCCTATGGCAGCTGCCCCCAAAACCTTACCTCTCATGATTACCGTATTTGCCGGCATATAAGACGACTGGGCGTATAAGATGACCCCCTAACATTTCCACTCAAAATACAGAGTTTGTTATATACTCGCCGTATAAGACTACCCCCTCTTCCGCACACCTTCCACACACCAAATAAAAGGTAAAACAATATCAGATTTGATTTCAACATTTTAATTTATATTCAAATGCTTATGACATGCAGGAAAACTGTCACAAGGCTGTATGTAATCAAACATATACATAAAACAGTGCAAGTTTATTACCGGTAAACATACCGGTAATTCACTAAAGAAAACACACTCTATAGACTGGTACCGTAGATGCTTCTCAGGAACATAGGCAAGCAGCCCACAACCTAGAGGGACTGTCAATGATAGAAGTAAGATAACAAATAGAGGGAGAGAGCAAGTGCCGGGCAAGTCCCTAGCAAGTTTGCTGGCGTGACAGTTTCCCCTTAAAAGCGATTTTGCGCTACCATACTGGGTGTATGGTCGGCTGTGTGCGATTTTGCGAGTGTGGTAAAATCGCATAACAGCCGAGCATACACCCAGCAGCGCTGCTGATGCCTGAACGGTATGTGGAATGAAGTGGGCGGGCATCGGGAGGCCACTATGGCACGGGGCAAGCACTATGGGCAGTCTATCTGAAGTGTACCTGGCGTATAAGACGACCCCCCACTTGGAGGCATATTTTTCAGGGCCAAAAAATCGTCTTATACGCTGGCAAATACGGTATACCCTCCTGCAATTACCTTCTCTGCTTCTCTTCTTCATAGGCCAAGCTGATCCCTCTCAACACGTTTGGCCTCCATTCTCCTGACTAATCTCCCTCATCAACCTGCTCGGCAAATCCATGAATCCTCCCCAGTATTCACTCTCCATAGAATGCTGGGTGGGGGGTGAAGGGAGCAGGGAAGAAGGGTAGTTTAAATATTAATGATTTAGTTACATTCCCCCAACACTTAGGAACTGATTAATGGGTAGTTATTTATATTTATGCATCATTGGAAATAACATAGTATCTTCTTTCAACTTACCTACACTCTGAAGCAGGTGGGTTGTTTTTGTTTTTTGTCCTGGACCAACTAAAAATATCTAAGTGGCCAATAAACCCCCAAACTAATTACATTATTACAATCCCAGCAGGAGGCTTACAAGTGTAAGAGTTTGTAGTGTGTGAGGCAGTGGTTCCTAATTCCAGGACTGTTGTTGCCTGAGTAGTTGGCAGTGAAACAAAATTAACGAACACATTCAATTAACTCTAGGATTGGCGATAATTCCTAAAGAGCAAAGCTGTTCCTGGGCTTTTGGCAAGGAAACCACATTGACCAGAAAGAACTGTTCATGTGTTCCCCTTATGTTTCAAATCACATTTGTTACATTTTGCCCAAGGAGAAAAGGTGAGAAAACAACTGGTTGGAAATGAGAGATCCATCTGTCAAGATACTGTGTGGCTCTCTATCTCTGTCCTATCCTATGAGGTATAATAGAACTGTTTTTTGTCTTTTTATAAATCATATCTTAGAAAATAAAGCTCCAGAGCATAAGGAAAAAGCACCAAGTAGGATTTAAACTTCAGCAATAACACTATGAGAGTGTTTTGCCTCCTGACTCTGGTGGGTCTCTTTCTGCGCATAATAATACTTCCTGCTATCACATTAAGTTCTGGATTCCTTCTCTCTGGCTTTCTGGCTTTTGGTGGAAGTGAATCATTTCTAAGAAATGAGAACTGCAGTGATTCATGCGCAAGGTTATTGGACACCACGGTATGAACTATGAAGGAGATCTGACTTTTACTGTCTGGTTTCTACCATCTACTGAGTGACCCTGGCCAAACTACTCACATCTCAGAACCTCTGTTGTGCCTACCGATAGCACAAAGAACTATAGGTGTTCAACCACCTCTCAAAAAGTAGTTGTGAGGCTCACATGGAGATGAGAAGGGGAAAATGCTTTCTAAGCAAGACAATGTATATAGTCTGTGCTGTACATTTTAACCAGGGTCCTAACAATTCTGCTTCACCATTAAGTTGGCATTTAACACATGCTCAGGTCTAAGAGCATCCCCTCACTCCCAAACCCACCCTTGGAAAAACCATCTCAAAACAGTGTACACTTGCCTGGAAAGCTAGGGTTTGAACACGTGCAGGGAACCCTAGGCCAGATTTTAAGACTATCTGGGAACTCTAGGCCAGATTTTAAGACTATCTACTAGGCTCTCTGGAATTTTTCTTTCTGAGCTGCCAGCAGAAGTTGGGTATGGGGGTAGAGTACCACGTTAAAGCTAGTGTGGAGATGTTTCAAAAATGGTTTTAATTAGGATGTGTCTTGGTGTGTTTTATTGAGGGCAGCACAAGTTCTTCGCATCTCCTTCCACCTTCATCAGCATAAAGTCCCGGTCCCCCACTTAAGACTGCAAGAGTCCGGTCAAGCCTGCTTTTCTGCCTGGGTGCACGCTTCCAACTCCTTTGCGCAGGTTCGGCCCTAAGGAGCCCTCAGCACACGTAAGCAGCTAGTTAAGATGCTATAATGAAGAGTCCTGGTAGGATAATTAATAGATTCAGGCTGGTCGAAGCAAAGGTTTAAGTGTTTCTTCTGCGCTTCCTTTCCTCCAGTACGTCTACCAGAAAAACTGTAACCAAGGACTGGTGGGCGGGCAGCGAAACGGTATTCCGCATAGGATGGAGGGCTGTCAAGGGATACCCAAAGGATTTTGCTTCTGCATTTACCCAACCGTTGCAGGATCTCAAACGGCTTCCTCCTCTGTAATTAAACCTTCGTCTCTGCAGCGAAGCCCTTCTTCCTTAGGCAGAAGAGAAGGGGACATCTCCCCTGCACCCCACACCGGGGCCTCCCGCCTCCGCAACCCACCTTCCCATGCAACGATCTCCATTCATCCTTTACCTTTGCCAGAAGAGGAAGAACGCCAACCTTTGGAACACTCAGACCATGCCTCTTAAAGTGATCCTGGAACCTGTTTTAAATGGGCCGGTTTCCAGAAAGGCTCAAGGTGCTACCTCGCCAGCCTTGCCGCACTTTGCCTCCCGCCGCGGGGTGGGCGGTGCGGTGCGCACTGTGACTCCGCCCCGCGCCGGGCCTCTTTCTCCCGCCCCCGCCCCGCGGCGCCCAGACTGGCTGGCGGGCGAGCCCCAGTCCGCATGCTCTGCGGCCGCGGCCGGCGGGCGGCGAGTGGACGCTGGCTGCGTGTCCGGGGGCTGCGGTGGCGGCAGCCACGGCACCTGACGCGGCCCCGCGTGTGCACGCGCCCCCGCTCCGGGGTCGCCGCCTGGGCCAGCGCTGGGCGGGCCCGCACCTTTCGATGCTGCCAGACCTGGGGCTGCGGAGCCGGCCTGTTGGCTCCCGCGATGGCGGCGGAAGAGGAGACTGCGGTGAGAGGTGAGGTTGCGGGCGGGCGTCCCCAGGTGGGGGCTCGGGGCCGGACGCTTAGGGGGCGCCGGTGGCCGGGCTGGGGAGCGAGCCGCCGGTGCGGCGTCGCCAGGTGGGCGCGCCTTGCTGGGGGCTCTCCTCCGGCCCGGCATCGCCTTGGATTGGCTTCGGAGCCAAGGTCGTTCCTGGAGGCACAGGTGCGGCGCAGCGCCCCGCGCGCCCTCCCCGGGGGCGGGGGGCGGGGAGTGACGCGGACGATCGCCGCCGGCTTTCGGCCTGCCAGCAGCCTGCAGCCCGGTTTCTTTGCCCCGGGCTGGACGTTGTGACGAAGGTGAGCTGGCGAGGGACCATCCACCAGGTGATGGCGAGCCGCCGCCTTCCGCCGACCACCAAGGGCCCACATCGCAGCCTGCAGGGACTGCTGCGTGGGCTTGTTCGATTTCATCTTTTGTAGAAACCAGTTGTCATTAGCCATGGAAGAGGCTCGGGTTCTGCGAGCCCATCCACTCTGAACTGGAAATCCTTCCATGCCCCGCTTCAAAACCGGCCCCGCCTCGGGCCGGGCAGGTGGGCAGCCGGGCAGGTGAGCGCGTGACGCTGGCTCATCGTATTCCTCACGCTAGAAAGCGACAGCCCTGCCCAAGCGAGAGGCGGCTCGCGTCTTTTACCCCTACAGCTTTAGGAAAGCCACCGGTGGAGTTGGTTTGGTTTGTTTTTCTACTTTTGCGGAGTTTTTGTGACTTCAGTTTGGAAACGCTGCCACGTCTTTTTCCTCTCTCGAGTATTCACTGGCAGCATTGTCCGGTCTCTTTCTTGGGACTGCTCACAGTTATGGGATGATCATACTATATATCTGTTATTTAAGACAAATGGGAGGCGGAAATAATTAGCGGGAGACTGGCAGAGAGAGAAGTTGTTCAGGGACGCAGTTGATAAAATTTCCACTTTCCTTTCGGGATGTGGTAATTAGTTTAGATTCTTCTCTGAAATACAGCGATAAAAAGGTGCTTTTGAAAATCTAATTTGGGAATTTGGATCATAGAGAGATTGCCAAAATTCTGTCGTTTGAATAGTTCAAGTATTTCTGGACGATATAAAGATGTAAGCACTGTTCTGAGTATGTATAGTGTTAAGCTGGTGCGCCCTGTCTGCTCTAGGCCGTTACTTAGCTCAGCCCTTTACTTGTCACCAGGTTATTTACCCTTAGCTTTCTTCATTTGTAACATGGGGATAATTACAGCATCTATCTTATAGTATTCTTTTGATTAAATGAGATATAAATGCATGTAAACATATATAAAGTGCTTAGTCTAATACTTGGGAAATAGTTAAGTGTTCCATAAACATTAGCTTAATATAGTTAGCCTGATATATATTTACAGCTCCAATTTGCTTTGTGAAATTAATAAATCTTATCTAATCCATTAAGAAAGTGTGATTCCACACAAGTTAAAATTAGCCAAATTGAAATCATACTTAGGCTTTATTGAAAAAAAAAAAACCGTGAAAATGCACCTACTAATAAAAAAGGCAGCTTTTACAAGGTAAGTCTTACGGACTTAGGACAAGTTTTTGGACAAGTAGTTGATGGCTATTTTGTAGTTGAATAACAAATATGAACTTGGGAATGGCCAAAATTAATCCTTCTTAGGTAAGAGTATCAAGTTTCAGTAGAGCCTGGGAGGGCAGCATTTATTGAGGTCCTATTATTATGTACCAGGCATTTCATAAGGGATACCTTACTTAGTCTCACAGCAGCCCTGTGATGTAGATTGGCATTATCTCCATTTCACAGATGGAAGAGGCTGGCCCACAGTTACACAGGTAGAAAGTGTCAAAACTGCACCTACAATGTGTGGCTCCTGCCCACGCTGCTTTCCTTTCTTTCCTGTCTCACTGGGTGGTGCTCATGAGCAATGTGCTTACTTCCAGACACCCTTTATTGAAAAAGGGTGAAAAAAATATTGTTACAAGTTCCCCCATCCCTGGAGGGAAAAACAAAACAGTTTTCTGTATCAGAATCCAGAGCCATGTTACCTTACACAAAATCCCTGCAGATTCCTTTTTTCAAGGCATTAAGGCCCTTGTGATATAATAAAAATCTAAAACTGGAAAACCTCCCATAGTTTGGTTACTCTCCTGGCTTTGAAGATAACCACCGAAAATTAGCTGGTGCCTAACATAATTGCCTGCCTTCTTCCTTTCTTAAACAGGCTTATGGTCAACAGCAAAATTCAGCAAGCTGACAAGTGACTAGGCATCCTCCTGGTAAATGGTTCCAGAAACTCTGGAGTTGGGGAGATTGCAGTTGTGGGGAGAGGGAGAGCAGCACATCTCCCAGACTGGCTGCCAGAGATGGTCTTGGGTGGAGGCTTTTGTGGGTCAGCTTTCTCTCCTTCTCTTTTCTTAATCACCACAAGTTCTCGCCTGTGATGTTATCAGACCCAACTCTTGAGGTGTAATTCTGCAGCTAGAGTGGCTTAAGTTCATTTATGTGACTCAGAAATCAAAAGTCATGTCCCAGTCAGCTTTGCATAAGCTACTGTTCCTGGCCTGGAGCCTTAGGCAAAGTTTCAGCCTGGATTGCATTACTCGACATAAACCAGAATGGGTTAAAATTGCTTTTCACATGTTTCAGGGGGGAGGACCAAGAGAGGAGGAGAGATAGAGGGAAGGGAGAAGGGGGTGAAGAGCCAGGGGAGAATGGAAGTGGAAGAGGTGAGAGACACAGAGATGGAAAAGGGAAGGAAAATGAGAGAGCAGAAGAAAAGGAACCCTGGGGAAAAGAGGGAGTGGAGGAAGAGGGATGAGGAGGGATGGAGGTGAGGAGAGAAGGGAGGGAGTTCCACGCCAGGAAAAAACAAAAACCGATTGAATGTTTAAACTATCTAGGGAAAGCCAAAATATTAGTATAGGTAACTATAGTGATTTCACTTTACTTTTTTTCTCATGGCGATGTTCTAAAAAGCATGGTCTCTTTCTATTCTGTGAATATTGATATTGATTAGATACATCCTTTCGAAATCTCTCCCCTTACAGAATGTTTATGAAATTATGAATCCGGTAATAACATTTCACTCTGGGAGCCCTCATCTCAGTTGTCCCATTCAGTTGAAGACCTCCAGTTTTCCACAGTGGCAGCTGACTTGCTGACTTGCCTAGGATCTGGTCATTAGTCAGCATCTGCACTGTCATCAGCATTATCAGGGACTCAGGGAGCCAGGTGCCCTGTAAGAGACGAGTATACCTGAGACATCTGCTTGCTCTGGGTGGCAGTGGTTTCCTGTCCTGTTTTTTGCAAGCCTGCTTACTGGTGTTCCCCTAAAAACCCCAGCCCTTCTGTAGCCCCCCACCTCACCTAGTGCCTGTCTCTTTCCCAGGGGCAGGAGGCTGTGAGAAATTAGAAAAACCGACAATTGAAGCTTTTAGTGCATCTGGGACCACAGGGGAAAGTTGTTTTCTGTGGTAGCGGGTGGTTTTGGATATTTACTGATCACTTATGAAGCACTTAGCTATACATGCCCTCCTTGCAGTCCTCCAACCTGTTTTCTCCTCTTACGTGGGTGAAGTCACATTTAGTGGTCTCTGACACATTGCGATGCATATTATATCACTTTAGGCTATACTACCTCATTTTTCTCACTCCCAGTTTTTAAACTTAAAATATTTTTAAACTTCTTAAAATATTTAAATCAGCCCAGTTATCGAATATAAAAATTCTCATTTGAAAATACTTAAGTGTCAGTTGGCATGAGAGGACATTGTCATTTATCTAAGTAAATTATTGGTATTTAGTTTCTTTAGTCTTTAATCTTATGGTTTAAATCTCCAGATAACATCATTACAGACAGATAAAAATGAAGAAGGCTGAAGGAAAAGGAAATGTAGAGAGAATCGGTCTTTCACTTGACAGTTTGCATTATTGGATATTTGTAATTGAGGGTCAAGATCATTGTCATAAAAGGTTAATTTCAAATACATTCAAAATGTTTTACTTGCAATATTTCTTTTTTTTTTTTTTTTTAGCTGAGCCATCCTGCTACCTGTTGGCAGCTCAGCAGCTGCTCAGCTCGGGCTGGATTCGAACCGCTATTGCTCAGAGCTCAAACTCTTGAGCAAGCTCTTAACCAACTGAGCCACTCGGCCAGCCCCCCATTTTTTTTTTTTAAGTAGATAAGAAATGTACTTTACCATACTTTCCAAGCACATCACAGGGAAAGTGGACACTCATCCACTGTCTTTCTCTTTCAAAACATCTCATCTTTGTATGTCCTCGCCTCAGTTATGTTAGGGAGCCTCCTTTTCCCCATGTGGCGTAAACTCGCCTATCTTCAGGCTGTTGGCTGCTCCTGGAATGCCACTGCCCTCCCTCTGCTGGTGTCTGTGGAAGTCTGTTGTTGTCACGGAAGCTGGGCTGGTGTCCCTCTGTTTTTATCTGCTGAGGAGGAGGCATCTGTGTAGGAACATCAGCCTGAGCTTTGGAACTGGGCCACTGGGAGTGTGATTGCCCATTTGATTATTTCCTAGCTGTGTTACCTTGGTCAAGTTCTTTAACTTCTCTAAGCCCCAACTTCCTTATTTACGAAATGGGGGTAAAAAAAAAAATCTACCTTGGAGGCTTAAGTGGGAATTAGATGAGATGATTACAAATTGTTTATGAAATCTGATCTTGAGGCTTAAGTGGGAATTAGATGAGATGATTACAAATTATTTATGAAATCTGATCTTCAACAAATGATTTTCCCCCTTCTCCTATGAAACCTTCCCAGAACTACCCCTACCCTGTCACCACACCATGGAAATGATTATCCCACTTATTTCCACACTATGATTTTTTTTTTTTTTAGCTGAGCCATCCTGCCACCTGTTGGCAGCGCAGCGGCAGTTCAGCTTGGGCTGGGCATCTAACCGCTGTTGGTCAGAGCTCGCACTCTTGAGTGAGCTCTTAACTAAAACACTATGATTTTTTTTATGTGCCCCTTATATATAACACCTGTACCTGCTTGCCA